ACCACACCCAGAGCGCCTCTTCTGACCACTGCTTCATGCGTCAAGTCGCCTCCCTTTCTTGCTGCTGCCACCACTCCACCTTCCGCCGTGCCTCTTCCAGTAAACTTCGAGCCCAGAGCTGCTCCATTTAATTCGCCTTCCACTCCTGCTACTCTGTCCCCTCTTCCGCTCAACTGTGGTGATTGCTCCCTTTCGTCTTGATTTTGCCTCCCTGCTTGCTGCTCCTGGAAGAGGGCTTGCTGCTGCTGCTGCTGGCTGTGTGGGAGGTGGCGCTGCTGCTGCTGGAGCGAGTGAGGGAGGCGGGGTCAGGGGAGGAGGAGGAGGCCACGGGGGAGAGGCGGAAGGAGATGGGCGACGAGGACACGAGGGACGGCGAGCGCTTGTGCTCGTCCATAGGGCAGGAGTTCTGGAGAGGCAGGGGGGGGAGGGAAGAGGGAGAAAGGGTAGAGGGAGGGAGGGGTTAGTTCGAGGCGCCTTACCCATGGGCGAGGAGGAGACGAGGGAGCGCGAGCGCTTGTGCTCGTCCATAGGGCAGGAGCTCTGGAGAGGAAGAGGGAGGGAGGGAGGGAGGGAGGGAGGGGGGGAGTGGTTGTGATGTGATCGTCCATGGGGCTGGCGCTCTGGTGGGGCAGAGAACATGGCGGGTAGAGCGAGGGAGGGAGGGAGGGAGGGGGCACAACATGGGAGGGTGTTTGGGCACAGTGAAGACGGGCGAGGATGACACGAGGGAGGGCGAGGATGACACGAGGGAGGGCGAGGATGACACGAGGGAGGGCGAGGATGACACGAGGGAGGGCGAGGATGACACAAGGGAGGGCGAGGGATGACACGAGGGAGGGCGAGGATGACACGAGGGAGGGCGAGGATGACACGAGGGGAGGGCGAGGATGACACGAGGGAGGGCGAGGATGACACGAGGGAGGGCGAGGATGACACGAGGGAGGGCGAGGATGACACGATGGAGGGCGAGGGATGACACGAGGAGGGCGAGGATGACACGAGGGAGGGCGAGGATGACACGAGGGAGGGCGAGGATGACACGAGGAGGGCGAGGATGACACGAGGGAGGGCGAGGATGACACGAGGGAGGAGCGAGGATGACACGAGGGAGGGCGAGGATGACACGAGGGAGGCGAAGGATGACACGAGGGAGGGCGAGGATGGACACGAGGAGGGCGAGGATGACACGAGGGAGGGCGAGGATGACACGAAGGGAGGGCGAGGATGACACGAGGGAGGGCGAGGATGACACGAGGGAGGGCGAGGATGACACGGAGGGAGGGCGAGGATGACACGAGGGAGGGCGAGGATGACACGAGGGAGGGCGAGGAATGACACGAGGGAGGGCGAGGATGACACGAGGGGGCGAGGATGACACAGGGAGGGCAAGGATGACACGAGGGAGGGCGAGGATGACACGAGGGAGGGGCCGAGGATGACACGAGGGAGGGCGAGGATGACACGAGGGAGGGGCGAGATGACACGAGGGAGGGGCGAGGATGTACACGAGGGAGGGCGAGGATGACACGAGGGAGGGCGAGGATGACACGAGGGAGGGCGAGGATGACACGAGGGAGGGCGAGGATGACACGAGGGAGGGCAAGGATGACACGAGAGGCGAGGATGACACGAGGAGGGCGAGGATGACACGAGGGAGGGCGAGGATGACACGAGGGAGGGCGAGGATGACACGAGGGAGGGCGAGGATGACACGGGGAGGCGAGGATGACACGAGGGAGGGCGAGGATGACACGAGGGAGGGCGAGGATGACACGAGGGAGGGCGAGGATGACACGAGGGAGGGCGAGGATGACACGAGGGAGGGCGAGGATGACACGAGGGAGGGCGAGGATGACACGAGGGAGGGCGAGGATGACACGAGGGAGGGCGAGGATGACACGAGGGAGGGCGAGGATGACACGAGGGAGGGCGAGGATGACACGAGGGAGGGCGAGGATGACACGAGGGAGGGCGAGGATGACACGAGGAGAGGGCGAGGATGACACGAGGGAGGGCAGGATGACACGAGGCGAGGCCGATTCGTTCTGTGGGGTTCACACATGAACGTTCTGGGGTTCACACATGAACGTTCTGGGGTTCACACATGAACGTTCTGGGTTCACACATGAACGTTTCTGGGGTTCACACATGAACGTTCTGGGGTTCACACATGAACGTTCTGGGGTTCACACATGAACGTTCTGGGGTTCACACATGAACGTTCTGGGGTTCACACATGAACGTTCTGGGGTTCACATATGAACGTTCTGGGGTTCACACATGAACGTTCTGGGGTTCACACATGAACGTTCTGGGGTTCACACGTGAACGTTCTGGGGTTCACACATGAACGTTCTGGGGTTCACACATGAACGTTCTGGGGTTCACACATGAACGTTCTGGGGTTCACACATGAAACGTTCTGGGGTTCACTACATGAACGTTCTGGGGGTTCACACATGAACGTTCTGGGGTTCACACATGAACGTTCTGGGGTTCACACATGAACGTTCTGGCGTTCACACATGAACGTTCTGGGGTTCACACATGAACGTTCTGGGGTTCACACATGAACGGTTCTGGGATTCACACATGAACGTTCTGGCGTTCACACATGAACGTTCTGGGGTTCACACATGAACGTTCTGGGGTTCACACATGAACGTTCTGGGGTTCACACATGGCGTTCTGGTGGGGCAGAGAAAATGGGGGGTAGAGGGAGTGAGTACAGCAAATAAGATTGAGTGAGTGAGTGAGTGGGTGAAGGGTAAAGAGGTTGAGGGAAAGAGGAGGAAGAGGTTACTTCATTACTATCACCATATACCATCACCACCAGACCAGACAACATGATCACCGCATACCAGCATGGCGGCCATCTTTTCCTCCAGAAGCTGCACCTGCACTGCTCGCCATGAGAACTAGCGCGTGCACCGATGCATATATCACAGCCACATCCCACCTTGCCTCACCACATTCCACCGCACAGCATCACATACCAGCATGGCGGCCATCTTCGCCTCCAGCAGCTGCACCTGCACCGCTCGTTGCTCTGCCTCCCTCTCTGCCTTCTCTGCCCGCCTCTCTGCTGCCTGTGGGGGAGGGAGGCACAAAGACAGACAAGCAGAGAGGTTGCAGGGGTGGGAAGAGGGAGGGAGGAAGAAGCTTCCTTCCTTCCGCACCTTATCTGCCTGCCTCTCTGATGCCTGGGGCAGGAAAGGAAAACGATGCCTCCTTTGCCTAAGAAACTGGGACAGAAAAAAAAGGAATGAGGCCTCATTGCCTAAGACCCATAAACCTTCAACACCCCTGCACAGCATTACGGAATTGGGACTGTGGTGTGCAAGACCCTGCTGTTCCCACAACCCACGACAGTTGAACTCCATGCCTCCACTCCTCCTATTAGCCGAGGTTGTTTTTGAGATGTCTCAAAAACAACCTCGCTTCACATTGGCTGGGGAGAGTTTTTGAGACGTCTCAAAGACAACCTCGCTTAACTCAATGCCTCCACTCCTCCTATCAGCCGAGTTACATCCTCCTGAGTGAGAGACGCCTGGTCAACACCTCTTGCAGCTCCTCACAGCCCCAGCCACCTGCATACCTCTCCAGCTCTCACCCTCCAGCAACCTGCACAACTCTCACCCTCCAGCAACCTGCACAACTCTCACCCTCCAGCAACCTGCACAACTCTCACCCTCCAGCAACCTGCACAACTCTCACCCTCCAGCAACCTGCACAACTCTCACCCTCCAGCAACCTGCACAACTCTCACCTCCAGCAACCTGCACAACTCTCACCCTCCCTCCCCCAACGAGGTGACTTTTGAGTCGACTCAAAAGTCGCCTGGTCCACCTCTTGCAGCTCCTCACAGCCCCAGCCACCTGCATACCTCTCCAATGCACAACTCCCACCCTCCCTCCCCCAACCCCCAATCCACCCAAACAACGCACCCCCCATCCCAGCCGTGTGACGCCCTCCTGAGGGAGCGACACCCGGCCCAGCTTCAGCAGCTCCTCACCTCTCCTCACCTCACAGCCTGTATTGAAATCACTTTTGAGAATTCTCAAAAGCTTCAGCAGCTCCTCACCTCACCTCACCTCACAGCCTCAACCCTGCCGGCACCTCCCCCACAGCCTGTATAACTCTCACCCTCCACCCAACTGCCGCCCCGCTCAGAGCCCCCACAAGCGCACCTCCACGGTCTCCATGAGTCGAGTGACGTCCTCATGGGTGAGCGACGCCTGCCCCAGCTCCAGTAGCTTCTAGCTAGCCTCATCCCCCATACCTCTCCTCTCCAGACCCCCCTACAGCCCCCCCCAGCGCACCTCCACGGTCTCCATGAGGTGAGTGACGTCCTCCTGAGTGAGCGACGCCTGCCCCAGCTCCAGTAGCTCTTAATATCGCCAACCCCATACCTCTCCCGCCCATATCTCTCACAACCCCTCTCACAGCCTCCCCCTCCCCACACACCCTCCAAGCGCACCTCCACGGTCTCCATGAGGCGAGTGACGTCCTCCTGAGTGAGCGACGCCTGGCCCAGCTCCAGAAGCTCCTGCACCACTGACTCGTCACACTCCATCTGATATGGCGAAGGGGGGAACAGGGAGAGGCAGACAAAGGGGAATGGAGCCCTGTTGACGCCTGCCCCAGCTCCAGTAACTCGTCTACCACTGACTCGTCACACTCCATCTGATATGGCGAAGGGGGGAACAGGGAGAGGCAGACAAAGGGGAATGGAGCCCTGTTGACGCCTGCCCCAGCTCCAGTAACTCGTCTACCACTGACTCGTCACACTCCATCTGATGTGGCGGAGGGGGGAACAGGGAGAGGCAGACAAAGGGGAATGGAGCTCTGTTGACGCCTGCCCCAGCTCCGTAGCTCTTGTACCAGTGACTCGTCACACTCCATCTGATGGGCGGAGAGGAAACAGAAAGTGTGCCGGGGAGGGGGAGGAGAAAGGGGAGCAGGGGAATGGCAGGGACGGGACAACAAGGGCGTTACGTTCAAATACCACGGCACAGGCATGGCATGGCATGACGGGCATGGCAGGCAGGGCATGGCATGGCATGGCATGGCATGACGGGCATGGCATGGCATGGCATGGCATGACGGGCATGGCATGGCATGGCATGGCATGGCATGGCATGGCATGGCATGGCATGGCATGGCATGGCATGGCATGGCATGGAATGGCATGGCATGGCATGGCATGGCATGGCATGACATGACTCACCATGACAGGGGTGGTTGATCGGCCTGGTGCATCCTCATCACTGTCGTTGCTGTGCCTGCTCAAGCAGCAGCAGCAGCAACAGCAGTGAGGAAAGAAAGACAACAGATCACTTAAGTCGACTCAACATGCCCTCGAGTCAGCTGAAAGATGAGATCATCGTCATCACTCAACTGTTGAACAGTGCACTGCTGAGTTTTGAGGCACCTCAAAACAATTTTTGAGGCGCCTCAAAAATCGACTCAAGATGCCCTTGAGTCAGCTGAAAGATGAGATCATCTTCATCACTCAACTGTTGAACCGTGCACTGCTGTTTTGAGACGTCTCAAAACACTACTTCAAACACTGCAGTTTCAACTGCGTACCTCCTCGCTGCTCTCTGCGTCCCTGCTCTCTAAACCCGAGCCCCTAAACCCTCAACCCTCCCCAACTCTCTGCTTTTAAAGCTGCCTTTTCCCGCTAGAGACATGCCTGACGCCTCTGACTCCCACCGGCTCTCTTTCTGGGATTCCCTTAAGCTCACCGCTCGCTCACCCCCTTCCCCTTCATGCGTTTCCTCAGTGCATCCCCTCCCCTCACTCCGTCTGGTGCGTCTCTTTCTTCTCTCACTCCTTGCACTGTCGCCTCACGTGCAGTGAGGTGTATTTTGAGGCGCCTCAAAATACACCTCACTGTCCTCTCCTCAGTGCATCCCCTCCCCTCACTCCGTCTGGTGCGTCTCTTTCTTCTCTCACTCCTTCAACTGTCGCTTCACCCCTCAAGAGCCTTGAATCACCGCCTCCCACCCACCTCTCTGCGTCTCTGCTCTTGAAGCTGCCTTCTCTCGCTGGTGACATACCAGACGCCTCTGACTCCCACCGGCTCTCCACTTCCACTGGGGGACCGTGGACGGAGGTCGGGGTAAGAAGGTCAGGGGTAGGGGAGGAGAGGGCGGGTGTGGGGAGTTGACTTTTGCGTCGACTAAAAAATGTCTCTGACTCCCACCGGCTCTCCACTTCCACTGGGGGACCGTGGAGGGAGCTCAGGGTAAGAAGGTCCGGGAGGGGAGGAAGGAAGTGGGGAGAGAGCAGTGAGTGCAGGGATGAGGGCGTTTGTAGAGGGCAGAAGCACACATGCTGTGCACAGCACTATACAATACACCCATTATTTTCTTTCAACAGCGACACAAGCATATCAAACCCAACTGCCCCCTCTGCAGTAGAATACGCACCTGGCCCCTGCAGTCACCTGTCCCCTCCCCTCACTTCCCCCCCCCCCCCACCTCACCTGCACTGCAAACCTCACCTGCCCTCTTTGCTCACCTGCCCCCTTTGCTCACCTGCCCCCTTTGCTCACCTGCGCCCTGCTCCAGGCTGCGGTAGAGCTCAAAGCGCAGCACCTCTCTACACCCTCCCTGCGCAACATGCACCAGACACGTCTGCCCCCTGCGCAACATGCACCAGACACGTCTGCCCCCTGCGCAACATGCACCAGACACGTCTGCCCCCTGCGCAACATGCACCAGACACGTCTGCCCCCTGCGCAACATGCACCAGACACGTCTGCCCCCTGCGCTAAACACCCCTCACCTGCGCCCTGTCAACCGCACCCCTCACCTGCGCGGCTGCTCCCACCCTCACCTGCGCCCTGCCCCCCCTGCCCTCACCTGCGCCCTGCTCCAGGCTGCGGTAGAGCTCAAAGCGCAACACCTCGGATTTGGCCAGCTCGTCCCGCAGACGAGCACACTCCACCTGCCACGACACGCACGCACATGGGAGAGAGGGAAAGAGGGGCATTTTGAGTCGTTTAGGAATACAGCTCGTCCCTGCATGTGTGCACACACACACGCACGAACGCACGCGTGCACACATGCAGGGAGGCAGAGACGGGGCGAGCAAAGGCTCACACAAGTCGTGTTCTGAGTCGACTCAAAACACAACAACCCCCTCACCTGCAGGGCGAGCACGCCAGAGTCATCGAGCTCCTCCAGTCGCTCTTCCAGCAGCGCCTGCACCAACACGGGATTCATCTCCGCTGCCCTCTCGCCCGCCCTCCGCTTCCACTCGTCTGTGCACCCACGGTAGGGAGAGGGGGTGGTGAGGGTGGGAGGGGGGGGGGGGGGGGGGGAGAGGGGGGGGTTGAGGGGGGAGGAGAATCTGAGTCATCGAGCTCTTCCAGCAGCGCCTGCACCAACACGGGATTCATCTCCGCTGCCCGCTCCCCTGCCCTCCGCTTCAACTCATCTACGCGCACAGGGGTGGGGGGGAGGAGGGGGGGGGTGGGGGTGGAGGGGTCGAGGGGGGGAAGGAGGAGTCATCGAGCTCCTCCAGTCCCTCCTCCAGCGCGCCGGGTTCATTTCCGCTGCCCGCTCCCCCGCCCTCCGCTTCCACTCCTCTGCGCACCCAGTGAAGGGGGGGGGGGGGGGGAGAGGATAAGGGGAGATGGGGGAGGAAGAGAGAAGGGCAAGAGAGAGAAGGATTTGAGACGTGTCAAAACTCGACTGCTCCAACGCTGTATTCATCTCCGCTGCCCGCTCGCCCGCGCTCCGCTTCCATTCCATGTCTCTGTTCTGTGCGCCCAAGGGTAGGGTGGGGGAGAGGGGGAGGGAGAGGGGAGGAGGGTAATAGGAGGAAGGATTTAAGACGTCTCAAAACAAGGCTGCGCCAAGGTCTAATGCTCGCTCGCCCGCCCTCCGTTTCCACTCCTCTGCACACACACCAGGGAGGAGAGTGGGGGGAAGGAGGGAAGGAGGGGAGTAGGAAAGGAGTCTAAAACTCGTCAGCACCACGGAGGCAATGGGATGCCCTCGAGTCGACTCAAACCACATCTTAGATGCGCAAGCAGGGCAGGGCATGGCACGGCACGGCAGCCCACTCACCGCAGCGAGAGGCCATGGCTTGCAGCTCCATCTCCAGCGCTGCTGCTTGTGCCCTCGCCTCCTCCACTTGCTTGTCCTGCCAGCCCAACCACATCAATCACATCACAGCAATCACATCAACCACGATATGGACGCTTCAAAAACCATCTCCAGCGCTGCTGCTTGTGCCCTCGCCTCCTCCACCCATCTGCTTGTCCTGCCAGCCCAACCACATCAATCACATCACAGCAGACCGGCGAGGCGAGGCAACGAGACAGATTCGATGCTTGACAAAACTAACAAGGGAACGGAACAGCGAAGAGACAAACGAGCCCTAAAATGTGCAACCGGAAAGGCAATGTAGCAACAGCGTGGTGAATGAAGGGCGCCATGTTTCCCTCGAGGCACCTCACAAAACGAAAGGAGGTGTAAGTCGTTGGATGGCAAGAGGAAGGGCTCACAGCAGGGGTGCCATTCTTGAGCTGCTCCTGTAGTAGCAGGTCCTCTAAGGCGTCCCTCTCCTCGCACACCTGCACGCACGCATGGTCACAAGTATCATGTGGGACAAACAATGTTAGAGGCGAGTCGATTAAAGCAGCTCCTGCAGTAGCAGATCTTTCAAGGCGCCCCTCTCCTCGCACACCTGGACGCATGGTCACGGAGTCACGAAATTCACAAGGGGAGGCACATATGACTGCATGATGGGAATGCACGACGGAAAGGCATGACCGGAATGCATGACGCGAATGCATGAGGGGTATGCATGATGGGAATGCATGATGGGAATGCATGAGGGGAATGCATGAGGGGGCATGAGGGGAATGCATGATGGGAATGCATGAGGGGAATGCATGATGGGAATGCATGATGGGAATGCATGATGGGAATGCATGAGGGGAATGCATGATGGGAATGCATGAGGGGAATGCATGATGGGAATGCATGATGGGAACGCATGAGGGGAATGCACGACGGGGATCAACGCTGGGAATGCACGACGGGAACGCATGCGCGTGAGACCATGCGAACACACAGATGCATCAGCGGGCGGTTACACATCGAATACTGCCTGTGAACCAACAGTCACATCAACGTGAGAAGGTACAGGACGGATATGCGAGCATACGTTGATACAGATACGGATGAGTGCAAAACTACAGTCACCCTGAACCGCGTACAGACTGCATTATCATACATGAGGTTTCAAACATGGAGCTGAACCCTAGAAAAAAGCAACAGAAACGTTGAACGGTAAAGCGACATTAACGAGGACCAATACTTACGAGAATAGCGCGCGGACAGGGCGACGCGGAGACACACCTGTTGGTAGCTCGCTCGAAGCTCCTCTAGCTCTCTTCCCATGTCCGATAAGCTGTTGGCCGTTGGACCCTGGTGGCAGCGAAGAGGTACGCGAAAGTGGGTAACGAGACGTATATCGTCTACGTGTGCGTGATCGGGGGATCGGAAATATTAAGACTCGCGAGAAAGGAGGATCGCTTTGGAATGCGTTTTGAGACGTCTCAGAAGCAGGTGTGCGGTATAGGACAACGGATGGGATAGCTCGACAAAGAGATGAAAGAGCTGTTCAAAGTGCCGACATACAAGAAACGACCGCTCCGAGATTTCGTTACAAACCGGGGAGGCCTACGCTGCAGCGCAAGACATGCACTACAAACGCATCGCGGCTCTGACATCACAAAAAAACTGGAAAGAAAGGTGTCAACGGACACATCAAAGGAGGCGTATCAGCGGACGCATCGGAGATGCATATACACGGAGGGCTGTAAGAGAATAAGGACTAGCCTGTGGGACGTAGTACGAAGCCATGGTTGCCGCCATCATCTGAGTGTTGCTCTCATGAAAGCAGGAAAGAAAGGTAACCTCTAGACCAGAAGAACCCAGGGGAGGACGTGGATGTGAGTATGCTTTGGGGTATGTGATAAATGTGAGCCAGACGAAGCAGGAAGAGCCGTTGAGTGCACTGAATGCATGTGTGGATTGGAGTGGATATGACTTTCTGCGCTTTGCCGAACCAGGTGGGTTTGGTCCATGGCGGAAGGGCTTACGGCTGCCGAACCTGATTTGTGATGCGAACCTGCGGTTCATCAACACCCCAGTTGGTCTGGTGAGGTACTGCCACATGGAGGATCCGCCAGCCGTGATGGGGGAACGAGGCGAAATCTGGCGAAGGAATTTGGCGATTCCACCGACCTGGACACAGTCACAAGGAACTGCGCCACATCTCCTGCCTTTTGGTTGTGGTCAGCCTGTGGCGTTGTGTCTTCGTTGGTTCGTTGGTTGGTTGGTTCGTCGAGTTTGCTCCCGTTCGGAAATGTCTTGTTTTGTCTGGTCACGTCGAAATTGACGCTCTTGCGCAAATAGCGGCTTCGTGTCTTCGGGTTCAGCCTTGTACAGTACCCTTCTCGTCGTCACCACTCTGGTCCGGAACTTCGGAATTACGGCGTACGGTCAGGAGGGCCCGCCCGTTACACTCACGCGTCGTATCGTAGAAGCAACTCTGGGTGCTGAAAGCGCCTGTGTTAACGGCGGACATCCCTCGAACAAAACCCCATTTTCTCCGACCCCTCTAAAAGGTCATCGAAACGACGCACCTTGAAGCTACACGCTGAGTAGTTGTGTCAATAAAGCATCACAGGTTAGCATAAAACAAATCAAGCCGCTCCATTTAGGTCGTCTGAGAGATACAGCAGGTAAGAATACTCCTGGTCCATTGTTGGACTTCACCAGTCTCGCCTCACCTCTGCAACATTTCCTTTGAGGCAGCGTGTAAGGAATTTTCTCGGCATTCCTTACGGGGCCGACTACATCGCGTACAGCAACAGCCGATTGTTCGCCCGTTACTGCTAACGGAACTTCGCCGACTTCGCGCGCACTGTTTTGCCAAACCTCGCACTGCTGGCATGGCCGTATCGGCCTACGCTTCGGGACTAGCCCGAGCCTCGCTCCAGCGTAGCACTAGCAAGCTCGCACGCACCGCATAACCGTTTTGCATGTTTCGCGTATAAATGTTCGCTCATGCCTTCGCTCACATTTGGTACTCGTTTGACACCTTAGTGCAATTCTCGCTACTTCGATTCATTGCACCCGTAACACTTGGTTATCAGAGCCCCTTTCTTTCGGACCGCGCATCTCCGCACACCAGGAAATCAACTTTTGATTTTTCACTCGAAGGGACTCACGCACCTTAGCCCCTAGGAGCCGCTGTCCTCGCGTTCTCTCGTAAACGCGTGCAGCCACGACTGCGCCTAGACTAAGACGAGCCGACGCCCTTCGTCATGGCTGAAAATATCGACGTCACCACCCTCACGCAGGAGCGTTTGAACGATCTGCTGCGACAGCTGCACGAAAGCTCCGAGGAAATCGCGGCATTAACGGCAGAACGCTCATCGCTGCAAAATGACCTCATGAGGGCACAACAAGCACAATCTCAAGCACCTGGCACTCCGATTCAACCTGCACCCTCAACATCACAACACGGGAGTGTGGGGCAACCCGCGAGCGCGGCCACCGATGGCGTCGTCCGCCCCGACGGAGACGACGACCACGGCACGACACACCCCATAGCGACGCATGCGGCCCCAAGTCAGCCTCGCGTCACGATTTCGGCACCAACCCACGACTCGGGACTGCCGTCACCGATGCCGCTGAAGCCGCAGCGCCCGCCATGCTTTGATCCGAGTCAACGGGGTGGTCCTACCGTTCAGGCGTGGTTGTTCACAATGAATGTCTTCTTCGACGCCAACTACGTCTCGGAGGACTCGGCGAAGATTCGATACGCCGTGTCGCTGCTACGAGGACCCGCCATGGACTGGTGGCGCGTCATCGTCACGAAGCCGACAGACTACGCGACACTACCGACACGGGAAGGACAAACCGGACCCTGGGCGCCATCGTATTTCGTGGAGGTGCCCCAGTATCGCACGTGGGACGCGTGGTGCGCAGGTTTGCGCGCTCGATTTGAGCCAATTGCGGCTTCGATCGCGGCGCGACAGAAGCTCCGCACTTGGCGCCAACTCGGTTCCGTCCAGGACTACACGAGCGGATTTCTGGCGCTATGCGAACAGGTGGGCTACATGCATGAGAGCGAGCGCATCGACCGCTACATCGGCGGCCTGAAGCAGGACATCGCTCAGGAAATCCAGCTTCGCGGCGTCACCGAATTTCAGGAAATTCTCACTATGGCGGAGAAGCTCGACTTCTTTCGCCAACCGAGACCGGGGTCCTACGGAAACAACAACTGGGGACATCGGCCTCGTGGGACGAACGAAAGCGCCACGATACGCGCCGTCGCCGCAAATGCCGCTGCCGCACCGTTCAAAGGGCGCTGCTTTGCGTGCAATCGGCCGGGACATCGCAAGAGCGAATGCCCGGAAAACGCTAAGGGAAAGGGGGAAGCTGAGCAGCAGACACAGACCAAGCAGCAGGGAAACGCTGGAAGTCAGTAGCAGACGGGCCCCCTACTGACAGGTCACGCCGCTCGCCCGACCCAACCGACCCTCACCGAGTGATTGTGCCGGTTCACGCAATCGACCACACCCGGCCGAATAAGGAGGGTACCACGGTAGACAGCCCTATACTGCTCAGTGGGAAAATTGGGACGGACTTAGTTAAAATCTTCGTAGATGGGGGAGCCAGCCACAGCCTCATTAACACTGCTACGGCACGAAAACTGCGACTGCCACTGGACAGATGCTTACCTGAGATCGACGCACGACTGGTAGACGGCACGCCACTGGCAATACGGGAACGCGTAGACCGAGTTCGAATTCGATGCGGGGGTAACTTCACGTTTAGCCAGGAAATGCTCGCAACGACCCTCGACGGAACCGACATTTTACTCGGGCGTGATTGGCTGCGACGACACAATCCGCGAATTGACTGGACGACGGGTGACTGCACCGTGCGAGTGAACGGTAACAACATCGCCTTACCTCGCTGGGGCTCGCCTGGGTCTTCGTCGGTGCGTGTCAATGCGATCACGATGAAACGCGCTGTAGCGGCCGGAGCTGACGTGTACGCGGTTGACATTCGGGAAGCCGAGGCAGCAGACAAGGGAGGGGGTTTACAGAAACTGCTGACCGACGTACCGAGTGATCTGGCAGCACTGTTAACACGATACAGTGACATTTTCCCGGATGACTTACCGACGGGACTGCCACCTCAGCGACCGCACGATCACAGGATAGAACTGGAACCGGGGGCACACCCAACAGTACAGCGACAGTTCAGACTGACCCAACCCGAACTAGACGAACTAAGGAAGCAGCTCGATTACCTGCTCGAGAAAGAATTCATTCGCCCTAGCTCGTCGCCCTTCGCCGCACCAATACTGTTCACACCGAAAAAGGACGGGGGTTTTCGCATGTGCATCGACTACAGAGCACTGAACAGGGTTACCATCAAATCCCGTTACCCCATCCCACGAGCCGACGAACTGATCGACCAACTGCGCACAGCCCGGGTTTTCTCGAAAATTGACCTCCGGGGAGGCTACCACCAAATCCGCGTCAACCCACCCGACTGCCCTAAAACCGCATTCCGAACACGCTACGGATCCTTCGAATACACCGTCATGCCATTCGGACTGACCAACGCCCCCGCCACTTTCCAAATGACCATGAACGAAGCATTCCGCCCACTTTTAGATAAGTGCGTCATCGTTTATCTGGACGACATACTGATTTACAGCCCTGACAGAGCACAGCACTTACAAGACATCGAAGCAGTTTTAAAAATCCTGAGTGAGAACCGCCTACTGACCAAAGCATCTAAGTGTGAGTTTTTACAGGACCGCCTGGAGTTTTTGGGACATGTTATTTCAGCTGCAGGAGTGGAAATAGACCCGAAGAAAATTGCGACGATTCAGGCTTGGCACGCGCCGACCAACTTGACCGAGTTGCAGAGTTTCCTGGGGTTCGTCAACTACGTGCGCCGGTTCGTCCCCGACATGGCGAAGCTGACTGCCCCGTTGACCGACCTGCTGAGGAAGGGGGTTGAGTACACGTGGGGGGAGAAAGAACAAGCTGCCTTCTCGGCTCTCAAAAACATTTTGTGCTCACCGCCCGTGCTTCACATCGCAGATCCACACCGTCCGTTCGAGCTCGTCACTGACGCAAGTGACATCGCTGTGGGAGCAGTACTGTTGCAGGACTTCGGGAATGGCCTCCAGCCAATCGCGTACGAGTCCCGC